ATTTTTATTATTTTGTTGCCATTATTCCATTAATTAATTGTATTTTCTAATTATCCAGTAATTAATTGGTGTTGTTTTGTTTTGCCGGGAAGGTTCTATTGTGGTTTTATTATTTTATTATCTACTAATTTATTATCGATTCTTTGGCAATAGATCGGTTTATTTTAATAAATATCCTCATTTTAATAAATACTCTTTAATTAATAGTATTTACTGATCTATTATTTAATTATATAATTCTCTATTATTTTTTCGTATACCCTTTTATTAAACATTATTTATTATCTATAATTCATTGTCCATAAGTGATTTCATATTAATTTATTGTCTATTAATTCGTAAAACATTGTTTATTACACCATATGTTATTAAATATTGCTCAATAAATATTATCTAATATATTATTTAATTAAATAGCGCTCAATGGATATTATTTGATAGCAATTGATTAAATATTATTTAAAATATTATTGAATGTATTGTTTATTAAATATTATTTCATATATAGAATTTGATATATCTTCATTAAACATTCATTAAGAATTTATTTAATATATTATTTAATTCAATATTATCCAATACGCGTAATTCATTTGTTTAATTAAACGTTGCTTTATCACACGTAATTAATTGTTCTTTGGCAGGGCGGGTGTGAGTGACGGCCCAGGTGTGCAGAGGTGTCACAGGTGTCACAGTGTCACAGTGTGTCCCACCTACCTGTGTGTGACAGGGTCACAGGTGTCTCTGTGTCACCCAGGTGTGCAGAGGTGGCCCAGGTGTCACATGTACCTGTGTGTGATGGGGTCACGGGTGTCTCTGTGTCACCCAGGTGTGACAGCCCAGGTGTGTGACGGGGTCACAGGTGTCTCTGTGTCACTCACAGGTGTGCAAAGGTGTCACACAGGTGTCACAGTGTGTCACACTCACCTGGGTGTGACGGGGTCACAGGTGTCTCTGTGTCACCCATAGGTGTGCAGAGATGTCCCAGGTGTGCAGAGGTGTCACACAGGTGTCACAGTGTGTCACACTCACCTGTGTGTGATGGGGTCACAGGTGTCTCTGTGTCACCCAGGTGTGCAAAGGTGTCACCTCCACGTGCTCTGCTGTGGGCTGGGAACGGGGACAGGGAATGGGAATGGGATACTGGGAATGGGATTGGGGTGGGGATACTGGGAATGGGGACGGGGAATGGGAATGGGATTGGGGATGGGGATGGGAATGGGGTGGGGACACTGGGAATGGGGACAGGGAATGGGGACAGGGAATGGGGACGGGGAATGGGGACGGGGAATGGGGACGGGGCCTGGCTGGGCCAGGGCTGAGCCACCTCTGGGCCCTGGAGCAGAATTCCACCCCAAATCCATTCCCGGATCCCCGACTCCATCCCGGATCCCTTCCCCATTCCCGTTCCCAGACCCCATTCCCGGATCCGTTCCCGAATCCATTCCCGGATCCGTTCCTAAATCCATTCCTGGATCCGTTCCCCGATCCTGGATCCATTCCCGGATCCATTCCCGTTCCCAGACCCCAATCCTGGATCCATTCCGGGATCCATTCTGGGATCCATTCCGGGATCCATTCCCCGATCCCATTCCTGGATCCATTCCCGGATCCATTCCCGAATCCATTCCTGGATCCGTTCCCGGATCCATTCCCAGACCCCAATCCCGGATCCATTCCGGGATCTGTTCCCGCATCCATTCCCGGATCCATTCCCGATCCCGGATCCATTCCCGGATCCCTTCCCCATTCCCATTCCCAAATCCATTCCGGGATCCATTCCCGGATCCATTCCCAGACCCCAATCCCGGATCCATTCCGGGATCTGTTCCCGCATCCATTCCCGGATCCATTCCCGTTCCCGGATCCATTCCGGGATCTGTTCCCGGATCCATTCCCGTTCCCGAATCCATTCCCGGATCCATTCCCGGATCCATTCCCAGACCCCAGTCCCGGATCCATTCCGGGATCTGTTCCCGGATCCGTTCCCGTTCCCGGATCCATTCTGGGATCTGTTCCCAGATCCGTTCCCGGATCCATTCCCGGATTTTAAAAACCCCTGAAAATTCCCATTTTAACTCGGCTCAAACTTTATTTTTATTTTTATTTTAGCCCTGATTCCTTCACCCCCACCGCTGCCATAATTAATTCACTTTATGATGAATTTCATTGGTTCCATCGCCGTTTTTTGGGCGGGTTTGGAGGAGATTTGGGGCTTTAAAAGAAAAAACCACGGGACACGGGGATAAAACAAATTCACACCGAGCGCTTTTATTGACACCGAGACCGTCACAGAACGCACCAAAATTCCCTTTTTATTGCAGCTTTACAACGAGCAGGAGGGGGGAAATTCAATAATTCCATTTTTTCGTTTTTTCCGCCTGAAAAACACAAAAAAAAAAAACCACCACAAAACCCCCTCGGAGCAGCTTTTTGGGGCAAATAAATTGAATTTTTGGAGTTTTCGCCTTTTTTGCTCCCTCGGGGCTGTGTTTTCTTTAATTTCTCTCCCCTCCCCGCCCCCAAAATTGAGATTTTTCGGGTTTTTTTTGCCGCCCTCGCCAGAATTTGGCGGCTCCTGTGCCTTTGGGGGGGGGGAGAGAAATCACAATATTTTGATTTATTTTGATTTTTTTTGTGTGTTTTTCGCCCTCCAAACCCCCCCAAGTTTTTCCCTAAATCCCCCTCCCCGGGTTTCCCACACCCCAAAAATAAATAGAAAATAAATATTAAAAATAAATTAAAAATAAATAAAGCCCCGAAAAAGGGGTGAAAAACCCATTTTTGGAAAGTTTCTCCAGGTGCGGCCACCTGGGCTCATGCGACCTCCGACATGCAGCTAAAAATGGGGGGGGGTTAAATTAAATAATAATAAAAATAATTAATTATTAATAATGAAAATAATCGGGGGAATTTAAAGCGGGGTCGAGTTTTGACACGCACAGGGGATTAATAAAATAATCATTAAAATAATTAAATATGAACAATAATAATTGGGATGATTTAAAGAGGGGTCAAACTTTGACACGCGCAGGGGGATTAATAAAACGATAATTAAAAATAATTAATAATAATAATAATCGGGAGAATTTAAAGAGGGGTCAAACTTTGACACGCGCAGGGGGATTAATAAAACGACAATTAAAAATAATTAATAATAATAATAATCGGGAGAATTTAAAGAGGGGTCAAACTTTGAAATGAACAGGGGAGTAATAAAATAATATTATTAATAATAAATAATAATTTTTAAAAATTAAAAAATAATGAGAATCTTAAAAAGGGGTTGAGTTTTGACAGGTAGGGGGGATAATAATAATAATAATAATAATAATAATAATAATAATAATAATAATAATAGTAGTGGTAATAATAATCCTTTTAAAAATATTATTTTTGACACCCACAGGGGGTTTAATTAATATAATAATAATAATAATAATAATAATAATAATAATAATAATAATAATAATAATAATAATAATAATAATTATAATAATAATAATAATAATAATAATAATAATTTTAAAATACCAACAACAAAGGGAGAATTCCCCGCACCCCAAAACAAGGTGAAAACCCCAAATATAGAGATTTTTATATTAGAATCTGTCCAAGCCACTGCCCCTGTCCCCGCACGGCGCGGATTTTTGGGGTGGGAAATTCGGATTTTCCCTCAAAAGCTGGGCTGGAAATTCGGAATTTTCGTCATAACCTGGTCGGAAAATGGGAATTCCTGTCCTAAGCTGGGTGGGAAATTGGAATTTCCGTTCTCATGTGGGCGGGAAAATCCGAATTTTTCCAAAAAATCCGAATTTCCGCTACAACCCAGGCGGGAAAATCCGAATTTTCCGACTTTTTCCTTAAAACCCGTGCAGAAAAATCCGAATTTTCTGACTTTTACCCTACAAACTGGGCAGAAAAAAAATCTGAAAGTTCCGACTTTTTCCCTATAATCCGGACAGAAAAAAATCTGAATTTCTGCTATAACCGGGGCAGAAAAATCCGAATTTTCCGACTTTTCCGTTACAAGCTGGGCAGAAAAAAATCCGAATTTCCACTACAACCCAGGCAGAAAAACCTGAATTTTTCGAATTTCTGGTACAAACCGGGCAGAAAAATTCGAATTTTTAAAATTCCTGCAATAACAGGGGAAGAAAAATTCGAATTTCCGCTATAACCCGGGCAGAAAAATCCGAATTTTCCGACCTTTTCCGTACAACCCGGGCAGAAAAAAATCCAAATTTTTCGAGTTTCTGCTGCAACCGGGGGCAGAAAAACCCGAACTTTACGAATTTTTTGCTGCAACCAGGGGCAGAAAAATCCGAATTTTCCGACCTTTTCTGTACAACCCGGGCAGAAAAAAAATCCGAATTTTTCGATTTTCTGCTGCAACCAGGAGCAGAAAAATCCGAATTTCTCGACCTTTTCCCTACAACCCGGGCAGAAAAAATCCAAGTTTCTGCTGCAACCAGGGGCAGAAAAATCCAAATTTTTCGATTTTCTGCTGCAACCAGGGGCAGAAAAACCCGAACTTTACGAATTCTTTGCTGCAACCGGGGGCAGAAAAATGCGAATTTTTCGACTATTTCCCTACAACCCGGGCAGAAAAATCCGAATTTCTGCTGCAACCGGGGGCAGAAAAATCCGATTTTTTCGAATTCCTGCTGCAACCAGGGGCAGAAAAACCCGAACTTTACGAATTCTTTGCTCTAACCCGTGCAGAAAAATCCGAATTTTTCGATTTTCTGCTGCAACCAGGGGCAGAAAAATCCGAACTTTACGAATTTTTTGCTTTAACCCGCGCAGAAAAACCCGAACTTTACGAATTTTTTGCTGCAACCAGGGGCAGAAAAATCCGAATTTTTCGAATTTCTGCTGCAACCGGGGGCAGAAAAACCCGAACTTTACGAATCCTTTGCTCTAACCCGCGCAGAAAACCCCGAACTTTCGGAATTTCCCCGCAGGAGGCGCGGCAGAGGCGGAGCCGCCCGGTCCCGTTACAGGCGGGTGATGTCGGCCGGCGGCTCCGGCGGCGGCGGCGGCGGCTCCGGGGCGGGCGCCGCGGTTCGGGTTTTGGTGTTGGGCAGCCGGTGATCCTTCTTCCACTTCATGCGCCGGTTCTGGAACCAGATCTTGATCTGGCGCTCGCTGAGGCTCAGGGCGTGCGCGATCTCGATGCGGCGCCGCCGGGTCAGGTAGCGGTTGTAGTGGAACTCCTTCTCCAGCTCCAGCACCTGCTGCCGCGTGTAGGCCGTGCGGGAGCGCTTGGGCTCCGCGCCCGAGAAATTGGGGTTCACTGGGGAATAAATGGGGGAAAAAATGGGGAAAATGAGTGAAATTAGTGACATTGCTTGTCTGGAGAAATTGGGGTTCACTGGGGAAATAAATGGGGGAAAGTGAGGGAAATTCCTTCCTCTGCTGCCGCGTGTAGGCCATGCGGGAGCGCTTGGGCTCCGCGCCCGAGAAATTGGGGTTCACTGGGACAGGGAAAAATGGGGGAAAATGGGGGAAATGGGGGAAAATTAGTGACATTGGTTGTCTAGAGAAATTGGGGTTCACTGGGGAATAAATGGGGGAAAAAATGGGGGAAAAATGAGTGAAATTCCCTGTCCTGCTGCCGCGTGTAGGCCGTGCGGGAGCGCTTGGGCTCCGCGCCCGAGAAATTCGGGTTCACTGGGGAAAATAAATGGGGGAAATTAGGGAAATTCATTCTCTAGAGAAATTGGGGTTCACTGGGGATAAATGGGGAAAATGGGGGAAATTAGGGAAATTCCGCCGCGTGTAGGCCGTGCGGGAGCGCTTGGGCTCCGCGCCCGAGAAATTCGGGTTCACTGGGGAATAAATGGGGGGAAAATGGGGGAAATTAGGGAAATTCCATCTCTGCTGCCACGTGTAGGCCGTGCGGGAGCGCTTGGGCTCCGCGCCCGAGAAATTGGGGTTCACTGGGGAAATAAATGGGGGAAATTGGGGAAATTAGGGAAATTCCTTCTCTAGAGAAATTCGGGTTCACTGGGGAAATAAATGGGGGAAATTGGGGAAAATGAGTGAAATTCCCTCTCTGCTGCCGCGTGTAGGCCGTGCGGGAGCACTTGGGCTCCGCGCCCGAGAAATTGGGGTTCACTGGGGGAATAAATGGGGGGAAAATGGGGGAAATTAGGGAAATTCCTTCTCTAGAGAAATTGGGGTTCACTAGGGAAAATGGGGGAAATGGTGAAAATGAGTGAAATTCCCTCTCTGCTGCCGCGTGTAGGCCGTGCGGGAGCGCTTGGGCTCCGCGCCCGAGAAATTGGGGTTCACTGGGGAAAATAAATGGGGGAAATGGGGGAAAATGAGTGAAATTAGTGACATTGCTTGTCTGGAGAAATTTGGGTTCACTGGGGAATAAATGGGGGGAAAATGGTGAAAATGAGTGAAATTCCCTCTCTGCTGCCGCGTGTAGGCCGTGCGGGAGCGCTTGGGCTCCGCGCCCGAGAAATTGGGGTTCACTGGGGGAATAAATGGGGGAAATTAGGGAAATTCATTCTCTAGAGAAATTGGGGTTCACTGGGGATAAATGGGGAAAAATGGTGAAATTGCTTGTCTAGAGAAATTTGGGTTCAGTGGGGAAATAAATTGGGAAAATGGGGGAAACTAGTGAAATTTCTTCTCTAGAGCAATTGGGGTTCACGGGGGAAAATAAATGGGGGAAATTCCGTCTCCTGCTGCCGCGTGTAGGCCGTGCAGGAGCGCTTGGGCTCCGCGCCCGAGAAATTGGGGTTCACTGGGGGAATAAATGGGGGAAATGGGGGAAAGTGGGGGAAAATTAGTGACATTGCTTCTCTAGAGAAATTGGGGTTCACTGGGGAAATAAATGGGGGAAATTGGGGGGGGAATGGGGAGAAATGGAGGGAAATGAGTGAAATTCCTTCTCTGGACAAATTGGGGTTCACTGGGGAAAATAAATGGGGGGAAATAGGGGGAAAAAATGGGGGAAAATTGGTGAAATTCCTTCTCTGGAGAAACTGGGGTTCATAGGGACGGGGGGAAAATGGGGGAAATTCCTTCTCTGGAGAAACTGGGGTTCACTGGGAAAAATGGGGGAAAATGGGGGAAAATGGGGGAAATTCCTCCTCTAGAGAAATTGGGGTTCACTGGAGAAAATAAATGGGGGGAAAAATGGGGGGAAATGGGGGGAGATTAGTGAAATTTCTTCTCTGGAGAAATTGGGGTTCACTGGCACAGGGAAAAATGGGGGAAATGGGGGGAAATTAGTGACATTGCTTGTCTGGAGAAATTGGGGTTCACTGGGGAAAATAAATGGGGGAAAAATGAGGGAAAATGGGGAAAAATGGGGGAAATTCCTTCTCTGGAGAAATTGGGGTTCACTGGGACAGGGGGAATAGGGGGCAAAAGGGAATAAATTATAGGGGGGGTGTATGGGGAAAAAAGGGAAATTATAGGGGGTGTGTGGGGAAAAAAAGGGGGAAAAATATAAGGGGGGTGAATGGGGAAAAAAGGGGGGGAAAAGGGGAAAAATTATAGGGGGATATATGGGGAAAAAGGGGGGAAATTATAGAGGGAAAAAGGGGGAGAAAAGGGGGGAAAAAAGGGGAGAAAAAGGGAAAAAATTATAGTGGGGTATATGGGGGAAAAAAGGAGGGAAAAGGGGAAAATATATAGGGGGAATAAAGGGGAATGAAAGGGGAAATATGGAGAGGGAAAGGAGGAAAAAGGGTGAAAAGTAGAAAAGCAAAAATCAAATTAATACGGGAAAAAAAAACCCCACCAAAAATCAGGTTAATAGAAGAACAAATACAGTGAAAAAAAATCGGAATAATGGGAAAGAAAAATGCGGGAAAATTCGGGTTAACAGAACAATAGAAACGGGGGGGAACGAGGATAAGGTGAAAATTACAGGCAAAATAAAAGTAACAGGAAAAAATGCAGTAAAAATGAGGTTAAAAGGGAAAAAACATAGGGAAAAAATTAAGGTTAACAGGGAAAAAAACAGGCAAAAAATTAAGGTTAACAGAAAAATAAATAGGCAAAAAAAATTAAAGGGAAAAATATTAATAAATAATCAGAATAATGGGAAAAAAACGCGGTGAAAAAGTAAAATAAACAAAGTAGGTAAGCAGGGAAAAAAGGCCAAAAAAAGAAATTAATGAGAAAAAATCAGAGTAAAGAATCAAACAGACAGAAAACCACAACAAATATTCAGATTAAGGAAAAAAGGCCAAAATAAAGACAAATACGGAAAAAACCCATGCCAAATAAATGAAATAAAGGCAAAAAAGGGCCCCACAAAAATAATCAAATGAACAGAGAAATAAACAGAAAATAAAGAAATAAATATAATAATAAACAGAAAATAAAGAAATAAAAATAAATTAAAACGAGGCCAAAAAAGTCCGGAAAAGAAATAAAGGAAGGCAACCAAAAAAAAAATCACACACGCAAAAATTAAATATAGAAAGGCAGGAAACGAGAAGGAGAAGAAAACTCGACGGACAAAATAAAATTGGAAAAAAAATTAAAATAAAAAAAATTAATAAAGGAAGAAAAGGAGAAAAAAAAAAACCCAAAGGACAAAATAAAAAGCGGGAAGAAAAAAAAATTTAAAATTTAAAAATAAATAAAGGGTGGAAAGGAGAAGGAGAAGAAAACGCAAAGGACAAAAAATCCGGGAAAATTTGAATTTAAAAAATAAATAAATAAGGGAGGGAAGGAGGAGAGGAAAACCCAACAGAGGAAAAAGCGTCAAAATTAAATTAAAATTTAATAAATAAATAAGGAGGGAAAGAAGAAGGAGAAGAAAGGGTAATGGACAAAACCCCGGAAAAAAATAAAATAAATAAAATAAAATAAAATAAAATAAAATAAAATAAAATAAAATAAAATAAAATAAAATAAAATAAAATAAAATAAATAAAATAAATAAGGAAAGAAAGGAGAAGAGGAAGGAGAGAAAACCCCAATGGACAAAATAAAAGCAGGAAAATAATAATAATTATTAAAAAAAATATATAAGGAAGGAAAGGAGAAGGAGAAGAAAACCCAACAGAAGAAAAAAGTGGAAAAATCAAAATTAAAATAAAATATGTAAGGAGGAAAGGAAGAAGGAGAAGAAAACCCAATGGGCAAAATAAAAGCATTTAAAAAAAATTTTAAAAATAAATAAATAAGGAAGGGAGAAGAAAAAGAAGAAGAAAACCCAAGGCACGAAAAACTGGGGGGGAAAATTAACATTAAATAAATACAGAAAGAAGGAGAGGGAAAGAAGAAAACCCAAGGCACAAAAAACCACCAAAAACCCCAAATTAAACCCAAAAAAAACCCAAAAAACCCCCGGGAGCAGCAGAGCGACCCCGCGAGCACAAACCCCAAAATCCCGGACAAAAACCCCAAAATCCCGATGAAAAAAACTCAAAATCCCGATTTAAAAAAATCCCAAAATCACGATTTCAAACCCAAAATCCCGATTAAAACCCCAAAATCCCAATTTAAACCCGAAATCCCCATTCCAAACCCCAAAATCCCCATTCCAAACCCCAAATCCCGCTTAAAACCCCAAAATCCCGATTCAAACCCCAAAATCCCGATTTAAACCCCAAAATCCCATTTCAAACCCCAAAATCCCGATTAAAAAACCCCAAAATCCCGATTTAAAACCCCCAAAATCGCGATTAAAAAACCCCCAAAATCCAATTTCAAACCCCAAAATCCCGATTAAAACCCCCCAAATCCCGATTCCAAACCCCCAAATCCCGATTAAAACCCCCCAAAATCCCGATTCCAAACCCCCAAAATCCCGATTTAAACCCCAAAATCCCGATTCAAACCCCCAAAATCGCGATTCCAAACCCCCAAAATCCCGATTAAAACCCCCCCAAATCCCGATTAAAACCCCCAAAATCGCAATTAAAAACCCCCAAAATCCCGATTAAAACCCCCCAAAATCGCGATTAAAACCCCCAAAATCGCAATTAAAAACCCCAAAATCCCCATTCCAAATCCCCAAAATCGCAATTAAAAACCCCCAAAATCCCGATTAAAAACCCCAAAATCCCATTTCAAACCCCAAAATCCCGATTTCAAACCCAAAATCCCGATTCAAACCCCCAAAATCCCGATTTCAAACCCCCAAAATCCCGATTAAAAACCCCAAAATCCCGATTTCAAGCCCCAAAACTCGGCCGGAAATCCCAGGCGGGGGCGGCTCGGGCCGGGGCTTCCCCGGCTGCAGAAACGCGAATTAAAAAAAAAGAAAAAAAAAGGAATTAAAAAAAAAAAAAAGTGAATAAAAAGTGAATAAAAAGTGAATAAAAGTGAATTATGGCGGGATCCCGCAGGCGCCGCTGCCCGCGGATCGCGGCCATAAAAAAGCGAATTTATGGCCGGTGAAATTGCCCCGCTGGCATCGTAAATCCCGCGCGGGGAATCCCGGCCCAGCCCTAAAACATCCCCAAAAAAATAAATAAATAAAATAAAATAAATAAAATAAAATAAAATAAAATAAAATAAAATAAAATAAAATAAAATAAAATAAAATAAAATAAAATCCAAATTCCCGAGCGCAGAGCGCAGGGCGAGGGAGGGGAAAATAAAGGGAATTTCTGTGGGGGGGGGTGGCAGAAATGGGTGAAAAAAGGGGAAATAAAGGGAATTTCTGGGGGGGGGGGGGGGGGAAGGGGGAAATGGGTGAAAAAAGGGGAAATAAAGTGAATTTTGGGTGGGGAATAAAGCGAGGATGGAGAGGGAAATCAAAGGGGAAATAAAGTGAATTTTGGATGGAGAATACGGTGAGGATAGGGGAGGGAAATCAGTGAAAAAAAAGGGAATTTTGGGTGGAGAATAAAGTGAGGAAAGGGAGGAAAAATCAGTGAAAAAAGGGGAAATAAAGTGAATTTTTGATGGAGAATAAAGTGAGGATAGGGAGAAAAATCAGTGAAAAAAGGGGGAATAAAGTGAATTTTGGGTGGAGAATAAAGTGAGGAAAGGGAGGAAAAATCAGTGAAAAAAGGGGGAAATAAAGTGAATTTTTAATGGAGAACACAGTGAGGATGGGAAAGAAATCAGTGAAAAAAGGGGAATAAAGTGAATTTTTAATGGAGAATAAGGGGAGGGAAATCAAGGGCAAAAATAAAGTTTTTTTTTTCATTTTTTAAATTTTTTAATAGAGAATGGATCGAGGATGGGGAGGGAAATCAGGCACAAATGTAAAAATAAAGTGAATTTTTAAATGGGAAATAAGGTGAGGATAGGGAAAGAAATCAGTGAAAAAAGGGGGGAATAAAGTGAATTTTGGATGGAGAATAAAGTGAGGAGGGAAATCAGGCACAGAGATGAAAATAAATTGAATTTTTTAGCCGGGACAGAGTGAGGATGGGGCGGAAACCAAAGGGAAAAATAAAATTATTTCATAGCAGAGAGGATGGGGAGGGAAAAGAGGCACAGAGGGGAAATAAAGTGATTTCCTTCAGGGTGGCGAGGGGGGAATAAAGTTGATTTTTGGAGGGGAAAAAGAGCGAGGACGGTGCAGGAAAACGGGGCTGGAGGAGCAGAAATAAAGCGAATTTTTGGCCGAGAAACCAAAGGCAGAAGAGGAGAAATAAAGCGAATTTTTAGAGGAGAAAAGAGCGAGGATGGTGCAGGAAAACCAAAGGCAGAAGAGGAGAAATAAAGCGAATTTTTAGAGGAGAAACCAAAGGCAGAAGAGGAGAAATAAAGTGAATTTTTGGCCGAAAAATCAAAGGCAGAGGAGGAGAAATAAAGCGAATTTTTAGAGGAGAAACCAAAGGCAGAGGAGGAGAAATAAAGTGAATTTTTAGAGGAGAAAAGAGCGAGGATGGTGCAGGAAATCAAAGGCAGAAGAGGAGAAATAAAGTGAATTTTTAGAGGAGAAACCAAAGGCAGAAGAGGAGAAATAAAGTGAATTTTTGGCCGAGAAACGAAAGGCAGAGGAGCAGAAATAAGCGAATTTTTGGCCGAGAAAACCAAAGGCAGAAGAGGAGAAATAAAGCGAATTTTTAGAGGAGAAAAGCGTGAGGATGGTTAAGACTAAAGGGGAAAATAATGAAGTTAATTTTTAGCAGGGACGGGGTGGAAATGGGGCGCAGAAAATGAAGTTGTTTTTTAACTTCACGGTGGGGGCAGTCGGAGGCAGGGGTGAGAACGGAGCTGATTTTAACGGGAGAGGGAAAGCGGCGCGAAAATAAAGTTATTTATTGTCAGAGGGGGGAAACGGGGGCAAAAATAAAATTATGTGTGGGGAGAGTGGGGGTGACGAGGGAAATCAAAGGGAAAAATAAAAAATAAAGTTATTTGTGGGCAGAGTGAGGGTGGGGAGGGAAATCAAAAGGGAAAAATAAAAAATAAAGTTATTTGTGGGCAGAGTGAGGGTGGGGAGGGGAAATCAGGCACGGAGATAACAATAAAGTTGTTTTGGAACAAAGTGAGGATGATGAAGGGAAAAAAAAAGGGAAAATAAAATTATTTGTGGGCAGGGTGAGGATAATGAGGGAAATCCAAGGGAAAATTAAAATTATTTGTGATCAGGGTGAGGAGGATGAGGGAAATCAAAGGGAAATTAAAGTTATTTGTGATCAGGGTGAGGAGGATGAGGGAAATCAAAGGGAAAAATAAAGTTATTTCTGATCAGGGTGAGGAGGATGAGGGAAATCAAGCGTAGAGGTGGAAATAAAGTTGGTTCTGAGCAGAGAAGTGAGGATGGAGAGGGAAACCAAAGCCAAAAATGTTTTTTAGCGAAGCGAGGATGATGAAGGAAATCCAAGCAAAACTGAAGTTATTTTTGGGCGGAGTGAGGATGAAGAGGGAAACCAGAGGGGAAAATAAAGTTATTGCTGAGCGGGGTGAGGATGAGGAGGGAAACCAAAGCCAAAAACCATTTCTGGACAAAGTGGGGATGAAGAGGGAAATCCAAGCTGAGAACTGGAGTTATTCCTTACCAGAGCGAGGATGATGAGGGAAACCAAGGGCAAAAATAAATTTGGGCTCTGAGCAGAGCGAGGATGATGAAGGAAATAAAGTTCTTTCTGAGCAGAGCGAGGATGATGAGGGAACCAAGGGCAGGAATAACTTTGGCTCTGGGCAGGGTGAGGATGATGAGGGAATCAAGGGCAGGAATAACTTCGGGCTCTGAGCAGAGCGAGGATGATGAGGGAATCAAGGGCAGGAATAACTTCGGGCTCTGGGCAGAGCGAAGATGATGAAGGAATCAAGGGCAGGAATAACTTCGGGCTCTGAGCAGAGCGAGGATGATGAGGGAATCAAGGGCAGGAATAACTTCGGGCTCTGGGCAGAGCGAAGATGATGAAGGAATCAAGGGCAGGAATAACTTCGGGCTCTGAGCAGAGCGAGGATGATGAGGGAATCAAGGGCAGGAATAACTTTGGGCTCTGGGCAGGGAAGTGCGGCCGGTGCGGGAAAGCAGAGCCCAGCCCGAGGCCTGCATCTGGGCAGAGGAGCGAGGATGAGGTAGGGAAACCGGGGGTAAAACAAAAAGCGATTTCTGAAGGGAGTGAGGGGAGAGGGAAACCAGAGGCAGGAATGTGAAGTTATTTTTGAGCGGAGTGAGGATGAGGAGCGGAACCAGGGGCAAAACAAAAAGCGATTTCTGAAGGGATGAGGGTGAGGAGGGAAACCAGAGGCAGGAATGTGAAGTTATTTTTGAGCAGGATGATGAAGGAAACCAGAGGCAGAAATGTGAAGTTATTTTTCGAGCGGAGTGAGGATGATGAGGGAAAGCAGAGGCAGAAATGTGAAGTTATTTCTGAAGGGAGTGAGGATGAGGAGGGACGCCAAAGGCAGAAAGAAATGAAGTTCTTTTTGAGCAGAATGAGGAGGATGATGAAGGAAACCAGAGGCAGAAATGAAGTTATTTTCGAGCAGAATGAGGATGAGGAGGGAAGCCCAAGGCAGATCTATGAAGTTATTTTCGAGCGGAGTGAGGATGATGAAGGAAACCAAGGCAGAAATGTGAAGTGATTTCTGAAGGGAGTGAGGATGATGAAGGAAACCAAGAGGCAGAAATGAAGTTCTTTCCGAGCAGAGTGAGGATGATGAAGGAACCCAAAAGCAGATATGAAGTTCTTTTCGAGAGGAATGAGGATGATGAAGGAAACCAGAGGCAGATCTGCGGAGCTCCCTCCGAGCAGACTGAGGATGATGAAGGACCCCAAATGCAGGTCTGTGAAGTTCCTTTCGAGCAGAGTGAGGATGATGAGGGGCAGAAATGGCAGATATTATTTTCGAGCAGGATGAGGATGATGAGGGACCCCGAGGCCGATCTGCGGAGCTCCCTCCGAGCGGAGTGAAGATGATGAAGGAACCAAATGCAGATCTGTGAAGGTTCTTATTGAGCAGGATGAGGATGAGGAGGGACCCCGAGGCCGATCTGCGGAGCTCCCTCCGAGCAGAATGAGGATGATGAAGGAACCCAGAGACCCCGAGGCCGATCTGTGCAGCTCCCTCCGAGCAGAGTGAGGATGATGAAGGAACCAAATGCCGATCTGTGCAGCTCCCCTCCGAGCAGAGTGAGGATGATGAAGGAACCAAATGCCGATCTGTGCAGCTCCCTCCGAGCGGAGCGCCCCGCACGCCGAGGGCCCCGCGGCCGAGCCCGGAGCTGTCCCCGGCGCCCCCCCCGCGGCCCCCGCCGCCGAGCCCGGCCCCGGGCGCGTTCCCCCCGTTCCTACCGGTGCTGACGTGGATTTTCTTCATCCAGGGATAAACCACGGGCGCCTTCCCCGCGCCTGCCCTCGGGCTCCGCGCACGAGCCCCGGGGGCTCCGCAGAGCTGCGGCTTCTCCGCCAGGTGCTGCCTCCCTCCTCCTCCTCCTCCTCCTCCTCCTCCTCCTCCTCCTCCTCCTCCTCCTCCTCCACCACCTCCTCCTCCTCCTCCTCCTCCTCCTTCCTCCTCCTCCCGCTGCTGCCCCCGCTGCCCGGAGCCCCCCGCAGCCGAAGGGGCGCTCGGGGAAAGCCCCGCGGGCGCCCCCGAAAATCTCCGCGTGGTGCGGGGGGAACGCGCCCGGCTCCCTCCGCGCGTAGAACTCCGCGCCGGGCTCGGGGATGTAATTACTCTGCGAATATTCCTCGCATGGAGGGAACTTCGGATCGATGTAGTTAGAGTCCATCAAATAAGAGCTCATGATCATTAATTTCTGGAGTGAAAATAATTTTTCCTCGCTTTGTCGTTTTTCTGCTCCATAAAGCCCTCCTACTCGCGGCCACCCCGTAAAGTTTCTTTCACCATGTGACGGACGCGGCAAATCACGCCCGGCCCGTGGGCCCCGGATCAGGAACCCAAAGAGGAGAGAAATTCACCCAAAACGGGGGGGGAGAGGCGTGGGAGGGAGAGGGGAGATGGAGGCGCCCGGATCCGGGAGCGGAAGGGGCGGAAAATTCACCAGAATTGGGGTGGGCAGGAGTGGGAGGGGAGATTCGGGTCAGAGGAGCCGCTCGGAGCGGGGAAAACGCCGGAAAATTCACCCAAATTGTGATGGGGAGCAGCGGGAGAGCAAGGGGTTAACTCAGGGATAAGGGAGCAAAAATCCCATAAAATTCACCCAAATCGTGATGGGGAGCAGCGGGAGAGCAAGGGGTTAACTCAGGGATAAGGGAGCGAAAATGCCACAGAATTCACCCAAATCGTGATGGGAAACAGCGGGAGAGCAAGGGGTTAACTCAGGGATAAGGGAGCGAAAATCCCATAAAATTCACCCAAATTGTGATGGGGAACAGCGGGAGAGCAAGGGGTTAACTCAGGGAGAAGGAAAGGGAAAATGCCACAGAATTCACCCAAATTGTGAAATTCACCCAAATCGTGATGGGGATAACGGGTGGGTGAAGGGAGATCCCGGGCCGGGATGAGGGAGCAAAAATCCCACAGAATTCACCCAAATCGTGATGGGAAACAGCGGGAGAGCAAGGGGTTAACTCCGGCCAGGGATAAGAAAGGGCAAATGCCATAAAATTCACCCAAATTGTGATGGAGAAGAGTGGGAGGAGGATTTGGTCAAGGGGAGAGCACAGGGCAGGGATAAAGGAGCAGAAATTCCGTGAAATTTCCCCCAAATTGGGACGGGGGAAACAGCGGGAGAGCGAGGGAGAGCTCAGAGTAGGGATCAGAGGGAAAAAAATCCGTGAAATTCACCCCAAATTGTGATGGGGGAAAAACAGTGGGAGAGCGAGGGGTTAACTCAGGGATAAGGAAGGGAAAATTAAAATTCCATGAATTTGCCCCAAATTGTGATGGGGGAACAGCGGGAGCGGGGATTTGGGTCAGGGGAGTGCCCAGAGCAGGGAAAAGGGAGCAGAAATTCCATGAATTTCCCCCAAATTGTGACAGGGGAACAGTGGGAGGGGGGTTCGGGGTTCGGGGCCAGCCCAGGCCGGGGATAAAGAACCAAAAGTGTCGAAAATTTCCCCAAATTGTGACGGAGAACGGCAGGAAGGGGATTTGGGTCGAGGGAGGGCCCAGAGCAGGGATAAGGAAGCAGAAATTCCATGAAATTCCCCAAATTGTGACGGGGAACGGCGGGGGAAAGGGGATTTGGGTCAAGGGAGGGCCCAGAGCAAGGGTAAAAGAGTGAAAATCCCATAAAATTCCCCCAAATTGTGAGGAGGGCAGGATTTGGGTCAAGACCGGGGACAAAGGACTAAAAATCCCATAAAATTCCCCAAATTGTGAGGGGGAGCAGCGGGAGGGGGTTTGGGGTGAGGGCAGGGCCCAGGCCAAGGATCAGGAACCAAAATCCCCCCAAATTCCCCCCAAAATCTCAAGCGGGGCCGAGGGTCTGTCCCGGGCCGTGGAGAAGGGAGCAAATCCCATGAAATTCCCCCAAATTTGGGGTTTGGGGTTATTTTTGAGTGTATTTGGGATTGTTTGGGGTGGTTTGGGGTGATTTAGGATGGTTTGTGTGGATTTGGGGTGGTTTGGGGTGGATTTGTGAGGATTTGGGATCGTTTGGGGTGGTTTGGGGTGATTTGGGTTGGTTTTGGGACGATTTGGGGTGGTTTATATGGATTTAGGGTGGGTTTGGGATGAATTTGGGGTGGTTTGTGCGGATTTAGGGTGGGTTTGGGATGGATTTGGGGTGGTTTAGGGCTGCTGCGGATATTTCGGGCTGGTTTGGGGCTGGTTTGGGTGGCTTGGGGCAGCTTGGGACGGTTTAGGGTGGGTTTGGGGTCATTTGGGATGAATTTGGGGTCAATTTGGGATGGTTTTGGGGTGAATTTGGGGTGGTTTGGGATGGTTTTGGGGTGGTTTAGGGTGGGTTTGGGTATTTGGGGTGGCTTTGAGACAGTTTGGGATGGTTTAGGGCGGATTTGGGGTCATTGGGGATGGTTTTGGGGTGATTTGGGGTGGTTCAGGGGTGGTTTGGGAGGATTTAGGGTGAGTTTTGGATATTTGGGGTGGCCTTGGGATGGTTTGGGATGGTTTAAGGGTGGTTTGGGTGTCTTGGGGCCGTTTGGGTTTGGGGTGGATTTGGGGTGTATTTGGGGTGGTTTGGGGTGAATTTGGGGTGGTTTGGGGTGGTTCAGGATGATTTAGGGTGAGTTTTGGATATTTGGGATGGTTTAGGGGTGGTTTGGGTGTCTTGGGGCCGTTTGTTTGGGTTTGGGGTGGATTTGGGTTGGATTTGGGGTTGTTTGGGGTGGATTTGGGGTGGATTTGGGGTGAATTTGGGGTGGTTTGGGGTAGTTTGGGGCCGTTCGGAACGGGCTGTTTGGATTTTGGGTCGTTTGGGGTTATTTGGGATATTTTTGGGCGCTTTAGGGCACCTTAGGGTGGCCTTGGGGTATTTTGGGGTATTTTGGGGATGCTTTAGGGCACTTTAGGGCAGCTTTGGGAAGTTTGTGGCGTTTTGGGGCCTTTTCGCTGTTTTCGGGACACTTCGGGTGCTTTTGCTGCACCTTTGTGTATTTTGGGGTATTTTGGGTTATTTTGGGGCAATTTTGGGGTATTTTGGGTCATTTTGGGGCAATTTTGGCTCTTTTGGGCCCCAAAAAAAAATCCCCCCCCTTCCCTCCCCAACCCCACTGCCACCAAACCCCCCCCAAACCCCTCCCAAACCTCCCCAAAAATTCCGAATTTTCCGCGATTTCTGGGAATTCCAAACCCCCCTCGGACTGAAATTTTTTGGGATTTTCTTTTTTTCCTTTTTTTTTCGGGTTTTTCCCCCTTTTCCGTCCCCCCCGGGGCCCTCGGGGTGAACAATTATCCCAGCCCAAAGCCCTTTCCCGGCCATATTTTAGCCGCTAACAATAAAAGTGACACATAAAGTTAACTGTTTATGTTTTATTTATTAGCCCTAAATGTGCCAGCGGTGGCGGAGGCTTTGGGGCTGCTTGTTCCAGCTTTTTATGGGGTTGTAAAACGCCATAAATCACTCGCGGGAGCTCTTTTGTGCTCGCCCGGCTCGCGTTTCTTCTTGTTGCTTTT